TGTTCTTCAAATCATCTGTAGACTATTTAGGTAATAGTCGTTAGTTTAGAGATTTACTTTACCTATGACTTAAGCGTCAATATTCATTATAATACATGAATACCTTTATACCAGATGTATTAGACGCGGTTCATTTCATGTCATAGCCTAATAAATGTCTCTGATATAGTGTTAAAATCCCTTAAAGTTCACTCGATTTAATTGAAATTAAGCTGATCAGTTGTCACCCTGGGTTACATATAAAATATACCCATAACGTCTTATTGTTATTTCTATCTAGTTCTTTTTATAGGTAAGATAAAGACATGTCATAATACACTCTGATTATAGAGTCGATTGTTAGAGACGTTTTGAGAGGATTTTACGTTTAGCAAACTATTATATCTGCTAAACAGATAAAGTTCAGGGATATTTTTAGTTTCCTTTTTTAGTGAAAATTCGGCAGATTTTCTGGATTTCAACAATAAGCTTATATCTTTGTTTGTGAAAATAATAAATTTTTATAAAGAGGTTATTAGAAGCAATATTTCAATCCAATTCTGATGCAATGAAAGTAATTTCAATTGCAATTGACATTTTCCTCTCTTTATTTGTCAAAGCTTTTTCTGATTGTCCAGTGATTGGCCTTTACACCTGATTAGCCAATCCAATCATTCGACAGTCTTTTATTTTCGAGATAATTTCCATTAATCCAATTATAATCGATGTCGATTGTGCTATTGGTTAGTTTATATATAGGTAATCTTATACCAAAATTTGTCCACCAACCAACGTAGAAATATTTCTCAATTGAAAAGGATTAAGCCGATAAGCAGATTAGGGATTAAGAATATAATCTCACTCACTGTTACCTCAGCAAACAGTTGTTGTTGACAAAATATAGTTGTAGTTGTAAATCCACTATACTGCGTTTTTAAAGGGTACCCGCGGATTTAACGATAATTGCTGAAGACTACAACTTGGACCTGCTTGGTAATAACCGGTTATTTTTCCCTCTGACAAATACTAAATGTAACCACCTTGAAAGAATTACGGTTTATTGTAAATGCTGTATATGTTGTAGAGGACGTTCAAGGAATATAAGTGATATCGTTCCATGGTCTGTTCTAACGCAGAGTTTAACAACAGCAGTAAAAACAACCAGCTCCATATACAGTATTTTTTTAGATATAACGGAGGTTGAAACATTTTATTGTATATATTAGGTAAGTGAATTAATGTCGTATCTTACCCATTTATATCATAACTATAATAGAACATATTCTTGTCGTAATTCAGCTATGAAGCGACAGGTTAATTTGGCCTAACGAACACTGCTCCAGTTAATTATGTCACATATGCATGCTTTGAACAATGGAACCACGATATTAGTATAGAGCTATTATTGTATTAATTACATCGACGTCTATACCCCATATTGATTTATTTCAATACTTTTCCCCAACGCACCTCAAGATGAAGGACAATGACCAATTTGAATAGTTACCTTTGACTGCACTAGGTTTCCCTCTATTAGATTAGATATTTGTGCAATGAATAGTTCATTCATGATAAGAACGTGATTACTAATAAGTATACAATCAGTAAATTCGATCAGTCACTTTTAAGATACGCAAAATAACAGTGGCTCAACCCGATGAGTGGGGGCCCGTGGACTTTAGTGGGTCCCTTCCGGAGAATTTTTAACAATTTATGCTCGCCTGCTTTTTTTCTGGGGATGGGGCCCCTAATGAATTGGGGCCCATGGACTTCAACCAGCCTTTATGGAAGTTGAGTCGCTGCAACATAACATGAAAGTAAACAGTATTTAAGAAGGTGACTCACGGGCAATAACTAAAACTTATTTTTCAGATCCTAAACCTACACCAACGCTAGTTATCCATTTTAATTTATCTTTTAAAATGAAAATAAATGCGCTCGCATAATGTCTGAAGTGGTCTTGACAATTTTCAATACGAGTGCCTGTGGTGTAGTTAATGTCTGCTAATGTAATTAATAAATGTGTTTAACTGGTGATTGATTGACTAGTATATTACATTGAGAGGACCCCAGGGACTACAGAACTGTTGTTTTCACTCAAACCATTGTAGGTAAATACACTTTATAATGCCCCTAAGGAACGTCATATATAACCTGCCTCTGGTAACAGTGTTGTTCAGTGTTGAGTAAAAACACCATTTGGTCCTAATATCACTTGGATGCGAGAGTCAACTGGGCATGGAGCAGTATATTGAACAGATCAGTATTTGGACGCTCTAATTTCCTTGTAGTTGGGTATATTGTGAGGGATTTATATTGATAAATCGTGATCGGTGATCTCCCAACATGTGTCAGTATTAGATGGACATCAGATGGCGAAGATACACAGTTCGTATACAGCATTTTGCATTAGTAGTAGCATTGCAGCATCAAGGTCATATGTTGCTCACATTTACATGGATATATAATGTTTCTCAACTCAACAATACCATCTGTTTATCATTTCAGTTTACAGTTCAAGACCTTAGTCCAGAAGCTAATCTTTACAGACTCATCAGCATTACTACAGCAAAAACATAAACTTCGGCTTATTCCGGAATTCAAATACCGATAGGAATACATTTTCTTTGTGTGATGATATAACTAGGACAATTATGAGCCTGACATCCTTTAAACGTCGCTGGATTGAAAATTGGTGTCAGGAAGTGTACTCCTTCATCAGAGATGGAAGTCTGTGTACGATGACAGGAGCATACCACGAAGAAGATCCCCATATAATTCCAAGTATGGGTGTGCCATGTTGTGGGAGGGACATAGCTTTGTTGTCACCAGACTCGTGCGATAGTGGAAGACTTAGTGTTAACGGTGAAAAACTTTTGGATAGTAAAACCAGCGGATCCTTTCCGGCAGTGAAATTATCATATTGTCAAGTGGAAAGAAGAAAGATCAATCGGTTGGTTAACGGGTTACCCATAATTCATAGCGGTATCACGGACAGTCCGGAGGAACTTCGGAACACACCGTTGATAGTTTCACACCAGCCTAAAATCGGCGATCTAACTCGTAGATGTGATAATGGATTTTTTAATCACCAACTGACAAAAAGTTATAATATAAACTCATTGCAAAATCGTTCATCACAGCCCAACCCAACACGGACCAGAAACGCATTTTCTCCCAATCGGAGTGTGACGCGGGCAAGACAAAAACTTCTCCATAATTCTATGAATAAGTCCAGACAATATGACAGAAATCCTCCCTCATGTTGGACCGCTGCTGAAATCAGTTTCTAAGTCCAACCTGTTCTGTTTTAACCTGTGGATTATTCGACAAACCCAAGAAGATCAATCTGCCGTTCAGCAGATTGGGGATAACCAATAGCTATGTACATGTATTTGATTAATATCTTTATCGCCTGAAAGAAGTGAAGTGCTTACATTAAAATCAGACTAAATAACTTGCGAGATTTAATTGTTAAGAATGTATTCCCAATCACCAGAGCACTAATTGCCAGAAAGGAACTAGTCATTTAAAGAATCTGATTATTTTAACGTTAAATAAACTAATCATATCTATAGAATCCGTGAAGATTTTGTTTGTGAGTAGGTCTTGTCCCATCTGACATTCGTAATAAATAAACCAGCAGCTAAACTTAAAATAAAGCATTTAATCTAACTCCTTCAGAATAACGGATTATTCCGTTTTCTGGTATTAGATCAAAACTATCAACTACACCAATATCGGTTGGATGGTGCGTTCTGGTGGTAATACCAAACACCCCCTTTCCAAAGTGTACGTATAGCCTGATTAAAAACATGGACAATTTCTAATGAAAAGCCAGATATGAAGTAAGAGGTTGGAATTTGAAAACTGAAATATGGTTGTGGCAATAACATTATATTGATCCGTGTTTTATGTTCAATAAAATCATTCAAATAATCATCAACTTATTTTTTATGCTCAAGATTGTTTTAAGATCGTTTAATAATAGCCACTATGTAACAACTGGTCATTTAGTATGATTAAAGCGATTATCTCTGCTTGTTTCCAAAGAATGACGCATTGGGATAGCATGCAGTTTGATCGACAATATAGAGGTGTTATTATTTAAAATAATTTTAAATAATAATACTTATTCAAACTTTGTTAGGAGTGGACCTGGTGTCAGACCATTCGTAATTGCTATTCTAGTAATTAGTTAATATAATTGTCTAAAATATCACTACAATAAAGCCAACTAGTCATTATTCTTGGTATAGTAAGTTACCATCATCTTAAAGGTATAACACTGAAATTATGCCTTGTAAGGATGCATCATACTGTACAACTGAAGTTCATATACGCATAGTAAATTTATTCATGATCGTTACTTACAAGCACTTTCAAAAGTAGTGTAAGGTAAGATTCGCCAGATTTATTTCATAATTTTATTGTGAAAGGTGCATATTCAATTTGTTCTATAAAAAAGGAAATTACTGTGTATAATTCCTTTAATATTAAAAAATAAACAAAAGGATGACAACAGGCTTAGTTCCTTTAAGATCTAACTTCAATCATTTTACCGTTCAACTAGAACTTCATCTAGGATTGAAACCAGCAGTCGGTGTTTGTCGAACTGAACTGAAAAATGAGATTACCAATCTTGATCTGGTTAGCTGTGATTATAATAGTACTGGGTGGAGAATGTAATGGGGAAGCTACACCTGTAGTGGAATCCGAGGTGATCAATGATCCTGGTCCAATTGATCTACTCCAAGAGGAACACGATGAGCTGATCGATCTACCAATAGTAAGTTTCGGATGTAAATCCTTTCATGATAAATATTATAGGCCGCATGTGCGTAACTCTTGTGAGTAACAATCTCTGACAAAATTGATTCAAGCAAATAGAAGATCTGTTCAGTGGAGACTTTTGGGTGGAATAAAAATTCAGAGTCTAGCGGACTCCTGCCAGCCTATAGGTCAGGGTTTTTCAACCTTTCTCTTTATATTGCCCCTTTCAGGATCCTTGATCAATTGCTTTATCCCCTATAAATCCTTACAATTACCCCACTTCCCCTATAAATCCTTACAATTACCCCACTTCCCCTATAAATCCTTACAATTACCCCACTTCCCCTATAAATCCTAACAATTACCCCACTTCCCCTATAAATCCTAACAATTACCCCACTTCCCCTATAAATCCTTACAATTACCCCACTTCCCCTATAAATCCTTACAATTACCCCACTTCCCCTATAAATCCTAACAATTACCCCACCTCCCCTATAAATCCTTACAATTACCCCACTTCCCCTATAAATCCTAACAATTACCCCACTTCCCCTCTAAATCCTTACAATTACCCCACTTCCCCTATAAATCCTTACAATTACCCCACTTCCCCTCTAAATCCTTACAATTACCCCACTTCCCCTCTAAATCCTTACAATTACCCCACTTCCCCTATAAATCCTTACAATTACCCCACTTCCCCTATAAATCCTTACAATTACCCCGCTTCCCCTATAAATCCTAACAATTACCCCACTTCCCCTATAAATCCTAACAATTACCCCACTTCCCCTATAAATCCTTACAATTACCCCACTTCCCCTATAAATCCTAACTATTAGACCTCTTCCCCCTATCAATTCTTTTTCGTGGTTTTCCCTGCAAACTGTTTTATGTCGGAGAATATACTTAAATTGTTATACAATTCTATGCTGAACTGCAAAGAGCATTACCCACCAAAATTTCAATCCAGGTTGAATATCCCTGCTCTAGGTGGTTATAAGCTGATGTAAGTTAGGAACAATATGTACTATTTACTAGCATTATATATCTTTGCATCCTAAAATTTGAATTTGAGCAATTTTATTTACCCCTTCCCTTATATACTTCTTGTTCATTTCAATCACAATACTTAATGTACCCAATGTCACCCTTTCCTTTTTGTATAAATTTGTACAGAGAGGATGTGTAGTGAGTAAACAAATAAACGTGCTCGTGCTTCATTAATCCAGCCAATTAGCGACCTCAAACACTATAAAAGGTAACGCTTGGATATATATGCTCATCCAATTTTCTTATATTTTCAGTGCCCTACTAAGGACACTTGGTCCTTTGATTTTCACTGCTTTAACCCAAAAGAAGAAATAAAATGTTATATTTCTGAAGAGGTAAGTCTATGAGTGGAAATCGGTCAAACTTTTTCCACCAAAATAATCAGTTTCTTCTTAATTTTGGAATTCTGATATTAAAATATTGAATGTAAATCGACGCTCACTGGTGATTTAATAGACCCGTTACGTTACTAATGACAGTCATCAACACAGAATAATTGTCTCTTTTTTGTATCTGAGCTCAATTCGCGTAAAACTAATTGTTCTAAATTTGCCATTGCAGAAGCCTGTATGTAAATGTGAAAAGAAATATACATGTTCAGCTAAAGCAACCCACGATGTAGGAACGTCAGGACAGGTTCCATGTACTTTTATTTGTAAATCCCAGAAACAGATAATGAATGAACTAAGCGATCAACATAAATACGACATGGGGTTACTATTACTTGGAAAAAAGAAATAAATCTTCAGAACTTCCTCGGATATTTTTCATTATTATCTCCCTTTTTATGCTATTGACGAATATCGATATACTTGCAGTGCTGATAATGGTCAGAATTAAGTTGGGGGCAGGGGAAACAAGTGAATTTTTTCTTTATAAAAATATAATAATATTGAAAGAATACTCCAAATTGCATAAAATGCAGGATTTAAGACTTTTTTTTTTATTTTCAACATTTTTTATTTATTCTTCAATTCCAATTCCTTGATTTCATTTTGCAAATGTCAACGAGTATTCTTCAATTATTCAGTCAATTGTATGAAAATCGGCCATTTATAGCCTTACCGAATTTTTTACTTCCGGTTGGGTGGATGACAATTAATTTCAATCCGTTTTGAGGCAAGATATCTTAAAGTTATCAGCTGGTATAGATCTGCTTATGATGCAAACTAAGGGATGGAGACTTGCCTGCACTGAATTTCCATCTTTTCCATTGTATGTTAGGTCGATAACCTTCGTAGATCTAAGGATAGAAATAGTAAAATAAGCTTTTTACTTTAATAGGTAATTCACGTATATCATTATTATTATATTGCTTGCAATGACATGATCGTATCCCTTAACACCGCTTGCTCGCTAACCTGAAGACTAAGGGTTCAATCTCGACAAAGGTTGAGATGATGCCTCCGGATTTTTTAACCAGGTTTCCCCCTGTCAGTGATATAGGTAAGAGGGGTTGACATAGAAAAAGCGTCTAGTCGTTCGGATGAGACAATAAACCGAGGCCCCATGTGCACGTAAAAGTTGGAAATCGAAAAAGAGCTGCTGTCCTGGCAAAATTTCCCTCATTGTACCCTACATGGCGTTGCCTGTCTTCATTAGCCCACATGGTGCAGATAATTAGGACGTAAAATTCCATTCTTTTCATTTCATTTGTCCCTTAACGCCAATGATTAATGTAAATCTTGGACCCCCGAGGCAAACCTTCAAACTATATACTGAGAAGTTGTTGATATATAGCTCTGGGTATTCTATAGAACTAAACCGGCGGAACCGTCCTGTCAGTCAGAACATAGCAATATCTGATATAATATAAAACATAAAGGTATCATTTCCTCTAAAATCAACAACACAATTCAGAATATGATTCGGAATATAATGAAATATTATGTAATGAATATAGTGTAAAGAAGTGACGATGTGGTAGGGATTGAGAAACGAAACAATTCATTTCCAGAAATAATTGAGCTTTATCATAACCTTTTAATATAATATAAGCATCACAAATATGAAAACATGAATACATATGGAATTGGTCCTGAACCAAGGTTCTGTCTTTAGAAAGCGGTACGTTCAAAGATATAGAAACAGAATAAAGGTGTTATCTTAATTTTACGTTCTTTGGAATGGGCTTAATAAAGATGTAAGCTCCATACTTAACTTAAAGTTGTAGGTTGAAAGAATTCCTTTAAAATAGAATTGGCGAAGCAATAAGTGATTAACGATAATGAATCCATTGAAATATTACAACTTCTGGTCAGGGAAATTAATTTCTTTAATTCATTACCGAGAACTATTTTATTATTTTACTTGATGAAAGGATATCAGACAGGGAGACGTAATTAGGTTAGATGAGGCATAGGAAAACAAACAGGATTGAAATATTGTTGACGTTAGGAATATATTTGGGAGAAAGGGAAAATGAGCGAAATTAATTTAATCAATCATAGTTTGAACTGGTTACATTCGAGACTGTCAGTTTATCCTACAGACAACGAACTGACCTGTAACGAATACAATTCTAGAAATGCAATGCAATTCACACTGCTATCTCCAGTTGATCTTTTGCTCAATAAGCGTGGCATAAGAGTGGTATTAGCGAATATGAAGCATATCGCACGATGGGTGCTATTCGCCAATAATCTCCGTGAACGCAATAACAGTCAAATGCCACAGTTCCATAGAATTTTATTACAAGCGTAACTTGGGAACGCAATATGGTGGCACATGTAGCAGTTTGAATGTGAATGTTATGGTATTGGGCCATTTTCGCGCTTTTTCTTCACGCTTTCCGGCAACCCAGTATATTTCTGGTCTCCGTAAATTGTCGCAGTCAAATTTGACGGGATCAAATAATTATCTTCCTATGATAATTACGGATGGTAAGAAGTGGAGCATTTCAAAGAAATAGATTTTAGAAAACTTTTATAACATGGAATGAAATTCATATTGAATTTGAAATCAATGTAGCTAAATGGAGACGGAGATCGACAAATATTGTTATTGACGATTTAAAAAAAATGTACATTAAGTTGTTGCAAACAACAACCGTGTTGTTATCTCATTCGATATTAGAATACTTAAAAGTTACTAGTGGTTAACCTTACGTAAAACAGTTACTGAATATGAACATATATATAACACCCTCACTAGTTTAACTGTAATAAAGTGGAGCTATTTTTGTACTCTCGACGACGATGATTGAGTTATATCAGCAAGTTTCGGACTAGGCTGGTCTAAGAAGTTGTTTTTACTGTGTTGACAGTTAAATGTAAAGGGTAAGACATATTAGGATAAAATAGTCCAGTTTCCTGAAGAAATTCAACGAAAGCCACAAATCATGTGACTGTTGGAAACATTTTGTGCTTTAACTCTCATTGATTTCTGATAAATCTGCGGATTTTTCATTAAAATGTCAAAAACATTCTACGACTAGTATTCAATAAGAGGAACCTTGAAAAAGTCAAGATTACACTATTATCGTCACTATTGATCGATTCGATTCGAAGTAGGTTTGCATCAAAGGATATGTCGAAGTGCAATAGTTGGAACAAAGAATCTGTAATATGAATACAAGATAAATTAAACGCTGGGCACATATAATCATCAAAATCAGGCTTCAATAATCACAAACATTGTAATTGTATATGTAATCTTGAGCCCACGAATACCAAACATTTGTACTCATGAGCCCATAAACACCAAACATCTGTACTCAAGGGCCCAAAAACACCAGGCATATGTACTCAAGAACACACGAACACCAAACATCTGTCAACACGAGCCGAAGACCAAACATCTGTAATCATGAGCCCACGAACACCAAACATATGTAATCATGAACGCATGGACACCAATCATCTGTAATCATGAGCCGAAGAACACCAAACATCTGCAATGAACACACGGACACCAAACATCTGTAATCATGAGCTCACGAACACCAGGCATCTGTAATCATGAACACACGAACACCAAACATATATAATCATGAGCCAAAGAACACCAAGCATCTGCAATGAACACACGAAGACCAAACATCTGCAATGAACACATGAACAGCACACATCTGCAATGAACACACGGACACCAAACACGCTAAAGCATAATAATTAAGTATTTAAAGGATCTGAATGGGATGTTGTGAAGAAATTAATAGTATATGTTGACTGGTTTTAACTGGTACAACATTGAAAAGAAAATTGGAAACTGGTCGATTGGATTAAAAACTCGGAAATTGGCCTTATTTAAAAGTCGTCAATATTTGCAGTCTTAAGTCTATCTAAAATTTATCAGGTTTCCTTCACATTAATGATTGTTGGAGCCAAACCATTGAGTTCATAGTGTCACGTTTCAAACTAATTTCGACTCAATTTCATGAAAGGGAAGTTTTCGGTAGAAAAAATGCAAACGAAATTCCAGAGTTTTCAATACGGTAAATGGATTGTATTCAAACCTATTTCCAATTGATGTCTGCATTATCTAAAACTATTAAATG